GTATTCCAATTTTTAAGTCTCTTAGTAGCTACAAGAGTGTTCTTCTCTTGCCTCATTGGTTCCTGTGAGTGGGGCTTTAAGCCTCTGGAAGTGAGGGAGGTTCGCTCGTTCAGCAGCTGATTACCGAGTATTCTCTGCAGCCAGGCACAGGTCGAGGCACTGGGGCCGCAGCTGTGAACAGAGGAGCCCGTTCCTCCTGCCCCAGCTCACAGCCCCTGTTCTCCTGTTATTCCTGATACTCACTGAAGAATGCAAGAATCGAAACTCAGCAACCTTTTCTCTCTACAGTTCAGTGTTGTTTGTGCCAGGTTCCTGAATGAACCAAAATCATCTAGAATACCCCCATCACTGTGTACGTTATACCTTAGAGAGGTCGCGTTCATTCTTCCTTCCGTCTAACTCCAGAGTGACAGCTATCTCAGCACAGCTATCCAAGGAGGACGTGGGAATGATGCAGTCCTAACATGGGCTTAGTGATGGTGATCAGTTGGTACGGTTGTGCCACACTGTGTGCAGCCTTGTTTTTCACATATTACATTACCAGACAAGGTGCAGTTTGTTATAGATAAGGAGCTCTGGGGGGGTGATAATGGGGACTGATGCTCAGGCCTTACATATCCTAAGCAGGAGCTCTACCACTGAGCTACACCTCAAGCCCTTATTCTTCTCAAATTTTGGAATGAGGTCTCACTAAGGTGGCTATGCCAGGGTCGAATTTGCAGTCCTCCTGCCTCAGTTTCCCACAGTGCTAGGATTACAGATATGCGCCACCACGCTCAGCCCTAATGGACTTTTATATGTTTTGTTTTTTCTTTTTTTAAGTGTGCAAGATTTATGAAGTTTAAGAGGCATTTTGGATGCAAAGCTTTTAATTCATTGATAAAATATTACTGTGCTAATGTGATAGGTAGGTGCTGGTTCTGGTTTTGGCTTTTTCTGTGGTACTAGGAATTGAACCCAGGGCCTTCCCACTGCACAGAGCTACATCCCTAACCCCTTTTTTGTTTTTTTCTTTTTTGTGTTTTTGTTTTTTCTTTTTGAGATAAGGTGTTGCTAAATCACCCAGGCTGGACTCAGACTTGCAGTCCTCCTGCTTTAGCTTCCTGGAGTGCTAGGAAAACAGACACATCACCAAGCTTGGCCCTGTATTCAACATGAGAGTCTAAAAATGTCCTGTCACTTCAGCAGAAAATTCTAATTTTGAAGTATAATTATTGTTACAATCGTCATGCTTTTTCGGTGTGGCGGTGGGGTGATCCTCTAAAGGTAGCCCTCTGCTGGACAGATGGGTGCACACGCACACATGCACACACACGCACACACAGTGTCGCACTCGGGATAATCCAGAATCCTTGCCACACCCCCTGTAGTCCATAGGTTCTGACCTTACACTGCTGGAGTTGCTCCTGTCTCCCAGTTATTTCTCTTTTTTATTAATAGCAGTTTTGGGGGGTTTGTTTGTTTGATTGTTTTGAAGTAGTATCTCCCTATATAGTGCAACCTGGCCTTGAACTCATTTGGATCCTCCTGCCTCAGCATCCTAAGTGCTGGGATTTCAGGCGTGCACCACCACATTCTTGAACACATTAGGTACTTATGACCTCACACTTTCTCTGGAGCATCTGTACGGCCAGCTCCCTTGCATCTATCGAGCCTTTAAACATCAAAGGGACCTCACATCAACACTATCCTTGGGCCCCATCTAAAAATCATCCTCCCGACACAACATAATCCCTTTTTTATTTTGTTGTCCCCTAGCATTTAACTCAGCCTAACACTCTAAATGTACCTCTGCTCTTTCATTCTACATATTTTACTTACCCTACTTACTAAATTTTCCTGAGTAGAACCATAAACCCCTTGAGGCCTGAGGTCTTTTCATTGACAGATGTCTTTTCAGTGACTACTGTCTTTTCAGCATGCACAGTAGTGCCTACATGTGGTAGACTCTCTGTGCATTGGGAGAATGGACTACTGGGATGTAAGTGTTAAGCATTATACTAATAACTCACTATCTTTCTAATCATGTGAGACGGGTTCTATTTTTTTACTTCATTTTTCAGGTAAAAACGCACATCATAGCTTGAGGTTTGGAAAGGTGGTCAAACCAGGGGAGGTGGCAAATGCTTACAATCCCAGCACTCAGGAGGCTGAGGCAGGAAGATCTGACTTTGAGATGTAGGCCAGCCTGGACTACATAAGTTCAAGGCCAGCCTATAATACATAGTGAGACCTGTCTCAGAAAGCCAAAAGTAAAAACTAAGAAAGGTGCTCAAGTAACTTGGTCATATTTGTACAGCAGGTGAGTTGATCACACAGAAACTGAGATCCTGTTGATTGCCTCATCACCTCTCGATGATAACTCTACTCAGTATAAAGTCGCCTAGCTCAGATCCTGTTTATTGTGAAGAAACAAGGGCTGGGGCTATAGCTCAGCAGCATAAGGGCCTGATTAGCAAGTGCAAGGTCATGAGTTCGATTCCCAGTACCCAAAAAAAGAAAGAAACAGGCTACTTAAAGTACAAAAGTACTAGAAGTCTGACAGCTTAGGAACCCCAAACATTGTTTATTATATTGCTTGGTGAAAATGGCAAAAAGGTTACAAATAAGTTACGATTTTACATAATGTTTTTATTTTATTTAATTATATTTTCAGTGCTGGGAACCAAACACAAGGTCTCCCACATGGTTAGCCACATCCCCAGCCCCTACACAATATTTTTAAAACAGAAGAAAAAGTGCTTAGGAATTCTCAGAAGACATACACAATAATATATCACTGTGGCTATAGACACCTATACTAACTGCTGCAACACATATAGTAACATTTCATTGATCAGATTGATTAGGCAAGAGGGTATTTGTCATTGTGTGTCTTTTAATCTGCTCTTCCTCTTGTATTTTTTTATGTCGTTTCAGACCCTCCACCTGTGCTACGGGTTGATGACCGACAGCGGCTGGCCCGGGAGCGACGCGTGGAACGGGAGAAGCAGCTAGGTACTGCAGGCCCCACACCCACAGCCTTGTCCCATGAGTCAGGGACACTCTGGTGGAGATGCTGCCTTTTCCTCCTCTAGGAGGAGGGGTGCTTACTGAGAACAAATGGACGTCACAGTAACAAGCCCAGCCTCTCGCTACCTTTGTGAAGTCTGTAGATGGATCGCAAGGCAGAATTTAGTGTGATATTCAAACATACAGCTAGTTTTAAGTAACAGTCAACTCCAGCCCCAGAACTAGAGCCGTTTTTATTTCTTAACCCACCGTAATACAGTTTGTGTGGTGCTGGAGGGGCTGTATGAGGGGAGAGATGGTGCAGCTTGCATCACGCTGAGAGATATTGTACAGTTCCTTCTGTGTGAACAGTCATGAGGCCGCACCGCTAAGGTGCCTCCTGGCTCCCATGTTAAAATAATACGGCTATTGAATGTCTAGCCAGATGATACCCATGTTTTACCAGGAAAACATGAGGCGTGGTGCTGAAGTGTCTGGCTTTTCTCTGGTTGCAGAGGCACTTGTGAAGGTTAGCAGCCCCGGGGTTTGCTGGTAGCCACCTGGCAAGTGGGGGTCACAGGATTGGCTTACCAGGATACAGACCAATGGACAGGCACTGTCTGCTAGGACAGTGGGCAAGGAGGCCAGTGCCAGCTGTTCCTCTTCTGTGCTGTCCATTTAAGAAAAGTGAATGAGACAGGACACTCTCTTCGTATACCTTGAAAAGATAAAATTTTCGGTCACCGTGGCCCAGCAGGTCTGGTGTGCGCAGTTACTTGAAAACTAAGACTGGCTTGGGTTGCCGAAATCTTCAGCGAATGACCTGTAACTTCTCTAAAGTTCTGCAATCTGTACAAGTTCATATTTTCTTTGGGAGACCCAGCTCCTGTCTCCTTTCTCATTTATTCATTATTCACACTAAAATACCTAAATGTGTGGAATTCAGTGGCAGCTGCTTTTCAGGTGTGTCGGCCTTGCTCCCGTCCTCTCCACATGGGCCTGTTTCTCCCCCTTGCCATAATGGCCATAAATTTGTAGGCACAAATTTCAGTAACACCCTGGAAATGAGCAGGCGGTGCTGATTTTGTTTTTTTCTCTGAACCTACCAGTTGCTCCCAGACCTCATGCCCCCTTGTGGGACAGGCTTGCTGCAGCCAGGCCGGCTCCCAAGAGCAATTGGCAGGGGCGCTCCGGGCTGCTTCATCCCCCTGTGTACAAGGCCCATCGCTGCTAGCAAGTACTATAACACAGTTGGCCCTTATGCCCACAGTGAGAGAAAAAAAGGGAGAAAGCAGAGCCATGGAAACCAGAAAAGACTCCAGTGAGCAAAAATGACAGCGTAATTATTGTTCTAGGATGGTTGTTATTTGTACAGATCCCTCCGAGGATCAGCATGTTTGTCTTCTCCTTTGCCCCTGCATGCTAATTGGATCAGGTATGGTACCACTAGATGTCTCCTTAGAGGCCCAGCATGGATTCCTGGATTCGGATTCATGTCGGCTTGAATAGAAGGTGCTCCATAGCATCAGCACACCTGAGTTTAAATCTCGCTGTGAATTCTCTTTTACATATTTAATTCATACCTTTCCACTTGGGATTCTTTCTCTTTCAAAGTCAAGCATTCGTGGTGTGTGTGTGTGTGTGTGTGTGTGTGTGTGTGTGTGTATAAAGTAAGAATATGCTGGTAAAGGTTGTCAGAGACTCATTTGGAGGGACAGACAAATGGGGAGTATTCGAGTATAGGTCAAGGATGCAAGGACAGGTGACAAAAGGCACTTGCAAAGAGACCTAGCTTGCTCTTCAATCTACTAAATGGGTCAAATTACCTTTCAGATGATTGTGTTATCATGTTATCATAAGTTTGCTTTTTTGGTGAACCTGTTAAATAATACACATAGTTCTTCCCTTTATTCTCGCTCCTGTGAGGTTAAATATTATAGTTCTTCTTAATTCTAATCCCTTTTTTGTTACCAGGATCTTAATTTTATTGAAATGTATCGGTTCTGATTTTTTCTTTGCATTCATTTCTTTTTGTAGTTCAGAGCAGTGCCTTTTTTGCATATTTTTTCCCACTCAAACCATCATAGTCAGAACTAAGCCTTGTTGAGGCTCTCTTTAGTCTTCATAAACACACGGATAAACATGGTACAAAATACAGATGCGTATGTGCATATGTAAAAGTGTCGTGAGAAACCCAGCATCCACTTAAAGCTGTGCCATAGAGTGCATGAGGGTCATTTCTAAAGAAATCTTCAGTGCTTCATGAACATCACAAGGCTCCCCTGGCCGACTCATACACTGTGCTTTGCGGAAGCTGGGACACACGGGGTTTACACGTGTTGATAAAGGTGGTTATTGGATACAGAATCTTGGAGTGTGCTTAGCTTAAAAACAAAAACTGCTTGGTCAGGCCAACTGTTATTGAGCTTTCAGGCTTCTTTTTTTTTTTGGTTTTTCTCCAGTACCAGGAACCAAACTCACGACCTTGCGCTTGCCAGGCAGGCGCTTTGCCACTGAGCTAAATCCCCAGACCCTGTTATTGAGCTTTCAAACTTTTCAAGTTTAAAAAAAAAAAGGAAAGTGTTGCATAGATTCTGAAAAGCATTGAAATGGCCGGAGAGACTGATTATTTACTGTCGGATGTAGATTGAAACTAACACTGAGGTCATTCGTGCTTTTTTTTTGTTTCCGTTCACATATTTTAAAAAGCAGGGCAGTTAGAGGGAGCGTGGTTCTCTTTGCCTTATGATAACAGAGCATTATTTGTGATATTTTGCAAACAGGAAGGATCTATTAGTACAGCAGTTCGCTCTAGGTTAAATCTCTGTTAATGCTGTTTTGGTAGGATTGTGTCCCATGGGCCGCTCTTTCTACCTCGTCCTCCAGTTTTCAGATAAAATCAGACATAATTCTTTACATGTGAGGCTGTTCTGTCAGTGGGTCTAGGATCTGTTCTCCGGAAGCTTTCTGCCTTGAGAGCGTTACATATGGTCTCCTCAACCACGCTGCTCCATCAGAGTCTATTCAGCCCAGTCCTTCAGACGTCTGTTTCTTGACTCATGCATCTCTTTCACTTTCTTTCTTCTGAGCTTTAATTTTGTTTTTGCCTAACTTGGGTTGAGGTGGAGATGGAAATCTCGTTGTTCTGGGTTCAGCTCTCCCTTTCAGTGATGTGGATTCACATCCCAGCCATTCATAAAGCAGCAGATGGTTCCTGATAACCTAAGGGTCAACTTTTGTACAACTGAATTGCTCATCATCCACTCCAAAATTGACTTGTCTTGGTAACTGCTGTGCCCAATCAATTCTGTACACACTTTCTTGGCCCCAAGAAAGTATTTCTTTCAGCCATTTCTGATACTTCTGCTGCTGCCTGAGGTTCTGGGTTCTTTCTGCCTGCTAATTTAGATGTTGGGTCTTCTGCAGAATTAATCATTCTTTCTTCCTTGGCTGGCCTAATACTGTCCAGTGGCGAGGCTCCTCCCTGGCCGGTTGGGCCATTTTTGCTCCCAGTAATCAATCTGGGCTCAGCCTGTATCCTGGGCTTCACCTGTCTCGAGCCTATTATGTAGATAGGGGTTGACGTACTTTATCCCTGAACCCGTTCAGTCACAAATGTGGGGGACTCTTCCTTCAAAATAAATTTTAGAACCATGCCTGTGTATTGCTGCTTCTGCCGTCCTCCTAGTTCAGGCCTTAATAAATTTATAGCTTATCACCCACAGTGGGTACATTGTCCTTCATACCTGGTCCTTCTCAGCCTTCCTAAGAAGTCTTCATAATCTTTCCATTTGGGGAAATTCTATTGCTTTCTCATTAAAAGCTATATCTTGTATGACTACCACATTTTCATGTACATGCTAGTGCTGTTTTATACCCTACTAAATTTTTTTCTATTTAGATTTTATATAACTCCCATATTTTAAGCCTCTGTGTATGACAGTGCTGTCTGATTCTCTGTATCACAATACATGGCACAGTGCTAAATATAAAACACACATAATAAGTATTTGCAGATTTTTCCTTACTATACAATCTTCCAACTAACTAACTGTGGGCCAGGCAGTATCCTATGTTCTTCAGTATGTTTTATCATATAGAGCAAATTAGTACAGGGATTTTATTTTTTGCTTTATGGGCCAGCCATCATTGGTAATGCAAATTATGTAGTCAAATATTATTTATTTGATTTGTAAAATACATTGTGATGATTAGCTTACCAAAGTAACTAAACAGATCTCAAAGGATGACATAGTTAATAGACTCCTTTTCTCTCTGCTACCGTGACTATTTAAGCATGCTTTTAGTATGTACAGGATCTCCAAGATCCACCTGAGAATTTCATAACAAGCCATCACACTGTCGAGCATAAAGCGATCTCTACACTCTAAAGCGACAGGTCCTTGGACAGGGATCCCGTTCACATTTGGAGGAAGGGCAGCTCTACTTCCTCGTGGAACTGAGATGCATAGGTGCTCTCTTGCCTCCCATTTGACACAAAATAAGAGGGCAGATGTAAATGTTGCTGTGGATTCTGACAACCTTTTTGAGGAAAACTTTCAGTGCTGATCTTCAGTTAGCTATTGAGTCCATCAGCTGTAATAGATCTTGTTATTGATTTCTCGTCAGAAACCACTGCGAGGATGGAGGACGCAGCCGTATGGATTTTTTATCATAGAAAACTGAAAGGAAAGCTAACCACCTCTTCCTTGTAAAACTACTTGCATTACCCTAAGTCCTGTGGTCATTCACCTTACGGTCAGTGTGTGGTTAGCAGTGAGCAAAGGGAGATGCTGGAGATAAGGAAAAGAACATGATGAATTTTCTAACCTACTGGAACTAATATTCCAAATGAGAGGCTCAAATAATAAAGGCTCAGAAATCGCATAATACTTTAGCTGAAATTTGTTTCACACACCTCCTATAGCCAGTACATCAGGGTGTATCCTCAGAAACCCAGAATGTGACCAGTTCTTACAACCACCACTGCTAGTGATCAAACCCAG